AGACAAGGGGAAACACCACACAGACCAGAGGGCTTTGGGAATCCTCTGCTGGACAATGTCCCCTATGTCTCTGTCCACCCTCACTTCCCTCATCCATGAAACCCTCCACCATTTTACACCCTATGGGCTCAACCAGCGCTCAAGTTATTTCCAACAGCATCCTCTTTCCTCTGTGGCTTTAATTCACACTGTTTCCCACACCTTAAAGAAATTTTCCGCAACCTTTACATTTTGAAATATTATACATCCTTCAAAAATACTCAATTACTTTGTCTCTAAGCCTTGATAATTCATCACCTATACCTCCAAATTTCTGTCTAGTATTTCATGTCTGCTTTAGTCAGCTTTTTTGCTGCTGTGATTAAATGACCTGACCAGAACAATTATAGAGGAGGAAAAGTTTATTTGAGGGCTCATGGTTTCAGAGGTCTTAGTCTATAGAAGGCCAACTTCATTCCTCAGGACTCCAGGTGAGGCTGAACATCATGGCAGAAGAGTGTGGCAGAGGGAAGCAGCTCACATGATGATCAGAGAGCAGAGAGAAGATCTCCACTTGCCAGATACAAATATATACCCCAAAGCCACACCTTAATTCCCACTCCTCCTGCCACACCCTAGCACTTCAGTTACCACTCAGTTAATCCCTATCAGGGGATTAATCACTGATTGGGTTAAGACTCTCATAACCCAATCATTTCTCCTCTGAACCTTCTTGCATTGTCTCACAGGTGAGCTTTTGGGAGACACCTCACATCCAAACTATAACAATGTCTTTAAATGGTAAATCTGTCATTCTGTGGTAGAAACTTGGTTATGATCAACATTTATATTGTATATAATAATGAGTAAATGGATAATTTGCTCTGTCTCCTTCTCAGCAAACTGTATATCCTATTTTTCTTGGAAACCAGAAGCCATAAAATAATTACCCCAATTTCTTTCCACCCACCTACAAAGTACTCATATCCCTATATATCATGTACCTCCCTGACTCCCCTTAATGAATCTCTTTCTAACTCTGAAACTCCTCTCATCCCTGACAAAAGCCCTACTCCATCAATCACCTCCTTTCTTCTAAATTGGTAACCTCTTGATTTCTGCTAATTTCTCAGATCAGGGAAGATCTGTTAGAAATATCAACATCAATTATCCTCAAGCTGAGGCCCTAACAGTTGTGCTGATAACTCCTCAAAAGAAGAAACCCTGAAGAGCACAAGCATGCTTTGGAAGGGAAATAAATCACAAACACATTAATCAGGCAACAGAGAATCATACCCACCCATCAATGAGACACAGAGGAGTGAAAGTTGACTCCAGGTCAGCCACCCTGCTCACTGTCAGTGGTTTCCCCTTGAGATGTTCCTGACCTGTGAACACCTGCTAATTCCACCTGGCCTCTGATCAAGGCAACAATGTACACCTGAGGGGGCAGGGGGCTGCAGACCAAGCCACGTGTACCTCGCCCAACGTGGCATTCGTTTTCTGAGTCCAGGTCGTCTTTCAGTTCCTTCAGCTCATCAGCCTCTCCCCTGCCTTCGAGCTGTCTGCAGCCCTCTCCCTGTCTTCCCGCTCCCTCCACCCCTCTCCTCATCATGGCTGGCTCCTGCTTCTTCACCTTCCATCACCACTTGTTTCTACAGGGACCTTCAAAAAATTTCTCAAGACTCATTATTTTCACTTGTTTGTTCTTATTGTCTATTCTCCCCACTGGGTTCCGAACTCCATGAGGACCATGATCATGCATCTTATTTGCTATTAGGTTCTCAACATCTGGTACATGGAAAGCACTCAGAAAAGTGTGGAATGAATGAATGAAATACACAAACACACACACACACACACACACACACACACACACGCCAGCTCAGTGTTCCAGAGGCTCTGAGAGAAGAAGCTTAACAGAACCACCCAAGGGTCTTATTTAAATACCCCAATCCTAAACCCCTTCCCTAACTACATTCTCCATGTTCAAATTCAGATGCACCATTGTCAAGATGGCGAGGGGATGTAGATACATAGGCATATCATGTGCCCCTCACAGCCCTCTGGACTCTAGCATAGAGTGAAAGGTATGATATCAGTAATTACTGTGAGAGGGGCGTGGTCATGAGTAATTGAGAGAAGTCATCAAGTAGCAGTCATACATCATCTCCGGGCTGCCGTGAGAATCACTGCTCTAGGTACATCATTCTCAAGCCTTATGATATTCCTCAGATCTTTAGATGTAGCTGCTTGTCAGCTCTCAGAGCCCTGACTTTTCAGCCTTACCCTCACATGTGGGTGACTACTTTTCTCATTAAAACTTTCATAATCTTTAACAGTCTTTTCCTCTAGCACAGGGGCCTTTCATCATTAAGCATAGTAAAGCATTCTATTTGAAGAAGAGCTCTAATATCGATAAAATGCAAAGCAAAGCTATTAAATGTCTCCATCGTTAGTGTAAAATATCATTCAAACCATTCACTTAAAATCTAGGCCCCCAGACAAAATTTTTGGGATAAGCCTTTTTTATACCCATTCCACGGATTCCCCATCATAAATCTCCCATAGTTTTCCACACTCTTCAGTGTTATTAAACAAGAAAGGAAGGATGATATAGTACAGGTAGAGCTGAGGGGGACAAGTCAAGGGAGGGTTAGAGCAGGGTTTGTATTTTTTCTTGGAATTATAAATTCTTCCAATAGCTTAATTTGGGGGAAACATTCCAGGTCAAGATAGGGAACAGTTATCCCCGAGGGTCCTGCCTGTGCACTAATGGATGACTAAAGCAATTTCCTGGTCTTGTCTATTTAGGACCGACACAGATAGGAAAAAAATAAGAGGCTCAATAAGTTTATGATTTTTAACTGAAATGATTTCTGGAAAAGTAGCAGACAGTTAAAATATTAAATAATTTTGTATAGTTTTTCAAAACTGAAACAACATTTTAATCACAAATAAATCTATCATGATCCCCTCCCTCTGTCCCCGCAAAAAAAAAATGCATATTAGTCTCCACTGAGCTAATTTTTATTAAAGAAAGAAGTTCTTTCCTGGGAATCAACAGCCTGTTGACATGGAGAGTAAAGACAAAGAGAGTAAGGGATTAAAGCTGAAACCATGATTAGGACTGGGTGATTTAAGCAAATTGCATAATCTCCCTGGCTTCTGTTTCCTATTCTGAAAAATGGAAATAATATCTATCTTGCAAGAATAGGAAGATTAAGTGTGCTAATAGTAATAATAAGAATACCGCAAATGGTTCTGGTGTGTGAAGTGTTTTCGATCAGCATGCTCCATTTTCCCAAGAATCAGTGAGGGGCTTTATTTTTGAATCTACTGTTATTCAGGTGCCTCTTGTGTTAGGATTAAGAAGCCATCAGCATCTGTTCCTCTCATGATGCTGCTTCTTAAATGTTACTTAATCTGGTTTAAGCCTTTGAAATGTGACCTCAGGTGAGCATCCAGAAACACTTAAAAGTATAACTAAACATTGAATGTATTTTTATTTCTTGGATTGAATTCGCCCCCACCAATTTTTGTTTGTTCCTTTCAAAATTATTATTTTGAGAAAATTACATGACTGTTTTTCCTGGGATAGAGAAATTCTTCAAGATTGTGTATTTGCTAGTGGAAACAAACAGGTCTCATACTCTTAAAGCACCTGATAAAACAATTTCCCTTTCTTTGTACAGACAACCCCCAAAGAATCCATCTTTAAAATCAATGTATATCTTCTTACCAAGGGCTTGCCTTGAGTTCTGATTCTTCAAATTGCTCTTAATGTGGCTAAAATATGAAACAATTGACCTTTTATTGGCCTGATCTGCTAAAGTTCTCCAGAGAAGCCACATCTATTTTAAAGCTCCTGCAGTTTTTTGACTTCAGTTGTGTAGAATCATGTGATTGTGGAGAAATGAAATGTTCCATTTTCAAAGTCAAAATTATCTTGGACTATCTTAAGCCCTTTAGAAAAATGCCTTTTACTTTTAACCTTTGTGCCTGACCTAATATTTTCATGATTATTAGGTAACCTCCCAGAATGTATTGTTAGGCTTAGAAGACCTCTAACCTCCATGAACCTTAAAGCTAAGAAGGCTGTAAGATAAAATCTAAAACTTCTAGAAAATATTTCACCATTTTATTGTAGCCAAGCTACCTGATGCCCCCACTGATTTGTTTGTTGAATGTATTGATTTATGTCTTTCTTTGTTTTATGGCTATAAAAGTTCAAATAACCTCTTCCACTTCAGAGCATCTCATTCAAGGCAACTTGAATCGATTTTCCCAGGACATGGACACTCATGTTTGGTGTAGAATAAACCATTTCTTGTTTCCTTTAAAGCAGAGTTGTTATTTTATATTGGCAGACCTTAAGGCTAAAATTAAGGAATCTAGCTAAAGATTTCAGTAAACAAAATAATATCACCTCAAGTTCAGCCATCTCCATCTTATAGTCTCTCCTTTCACACACACACCTCTCTCTCTCTCTCTCTCTCTCTCACACACACACACACACACACACACAGCTCAAACCACAGCAATCAAAGAACACTGGAGTATACTAAAGCTGGTGTGGCAAACTCCTAATTAATGATCAAAACTCCTTGGAGCTAAGGTGCCTTTCTCCCAATAGACTGCTATTTTTAAAATATTTCTCTTTGAAAACAACAGCATGATTGATCTCATCATTCCTACTTAAATTACTTACATAGAAGAAACAAAAATGCCTTGTGCACAATTATTAAAAACACTTTATTATGTATAATTTGTACATGCTTCAATTCATGTTGCTTAGAGTGATTTATTTTCCAGGTTTTGAGGTTCTCTACCAAGATTAACTAGATCTAATTTTCATTCTGCCATGCCACTTACAAAAATACAATTTTCAAAGCAAAGTTCCTCTTCTTTACACAAAGGTACACAAGAGTTTGTCAGACCAAAAAAAAAAAAATGAGAGAAGAATACTTTGCACACATGTCAACACCATACAAGGCATTATCCTTCACACAGTAACATCAAATGTGTTCTTTTATTTTGGAACAGCAGGAAAAGAGCCCCTTCACCCTCAGAGGGGAATGCAAACTTTATTTTTGCTAAAGCCAAACTCCAGGGATGAAGGCATGATCCTCTTGGGGACAGTAGGGGGAAAGGAGACATATGGTGAAGGATGGACACTCCTTCATAAGCACTTCAAGAGGAAGGAATTGCAGGAGGTTCCTCGGGGACAGTCACACAGCTTCCCAATCCTGGCTCCTTTTCGAACTGCACACTGCTCTCCAGCGTCACACTGCAAACAACACAGATGTGGTCATTGGGGTCCCAACAGGCAAGTGCATGTGGGACCCAACCAGCAAGTCTCCCAGTCAACGCAATTTCTGCCTCTAGAGAGGACTGACTGAACCCCATCTCCATCACCAGAGGTTTAAGTATAGTCAGGCCTGAAACGCAGGGAAACTTGTTCTTAGAATTTCAATGAGAGGAAATTTCTTTTAAAGAAGTTTAAATGATTGGTCCCCTCCTACCTTCTTCCACCTTTCAAAGGGATCCCATTTCCTGGCCCTTTTTCTTGTTTATTCAGAGGAAGAAACAATCAGACCATTTTCTGAGAAATAAACAATAAACCTGTACTTTCTCACAACCTTTATTCCTTTTTTTCCCCCCATTTCCTTATCCCAAGAAGGAAGATAGTAGGGGGGTGGGGTTACCCTGAGCTATCCATGGAAGATGACCAGCTTCAATGTTTGACCCCAGAACTTAAATTTTAAAAGAAAAACTGCTTGTGCTCTGGAAGACAGGAAGAAATTAGGGTAGCAGGAACTGAGTAGATTCAAATGCTCTTCCAACTCAGGGAATTCTTCTCTTCTCTAGGTGAAGGGTTCATCTTCAGTTAATACTCCTTCCCACACAGATTATAGGACTGGTTCCTGCCAACGCTGTTCCCTTTCTGTAATAGCCTACCCTTGCCCTTAAAGACCAAGGGACAAGGACTGGTGGTGAAAGCAAAGGGGATCTCACAGAATAATGCACACCCATTACCTGTGTTATTCGGCCACATCCTCCCGTGAGGTTGTGATTAAGATTCAAGGCGCTGTGTTTTCTCTTGGAAAACATGGGGAGGGGTGACCCCAAAGCCTTACCATAGGGACTTGCCCGTACTTCTTCTCATAGATGGGAATACGTTTACTCTTCAGCTTCTTCAAGACTTCCTGCAGCGCTTCAATCTGCAACACACCGCCCCAGAGCCCAAAGTTGTCGCCTTGGCTGTGAGCCCAGCCCAGGTGCTCACTTTCAGCCCTAGTTACAAGGAGCCCGGGACCCACGCATACTCTGTGGGTTGGGACTCTGGGGACAAAAGGATGTTCTGGGGCGGGAGCTGAGTGGGCGCTGTCTTAGGTACTGACCTCAGGTCCCGGAGCCGCCGAGGCTCGCGTTGCTCTAAGAGACAACGAGGGGCTCGCTCGACAGATTGCCTACAGCCTGTGAGCTCAAGACGGTGTTCGGATGGCAGAGGGCGCCCGGGCTTTGCGCCCAGATCTGGTGCTCTGACTCTGGGAATGGGACTGAGAGGTCCGAAGAGGAGGGATGCGTGCACAAGAAGGGACCTCGCGGCAGCCCAAGGGGGTCCGGGGCGAGGGGAATACTGACCAGCTCCTTCTCGTGGGAGGCATCCTCCACGGCGGAGTAGATGTCCAGGGCTCGGGGCTGGAGCTCAGCGTCCTCCTGGGCACGGGCGCCCAGCAGAGGTAGCATCAGTAGCAGGGCGGCGCCCAGGAGGGACAGCAGCCGCAGGCGGGGGCTCTCCATGGTGCTGAAACTCTCCGCTGCTGGGGCGCCCCGCGCTCCCGCCTTTTATAGCGAGCCAGAGCCCGGGTGCAGGGGAAAGGGAGGGGGCGAGGAAGGAAGGGGGTGTGGAGGAGGACCCGGGTCAACCGTCTGTCGGCAGCGCTCCGCCACCGCTTGACGTCAATGCCCGCCGGGCTCCAGGCACCCGGGAACGAGGCTCTGCGCTCAGATGGGCTAGAGCAGAGAACAAGACCCCGTGCCCCCAAACGCTGTCTGCTCAGTGGCAAGGAACGCTCCCCAGGGGGACTGAGCTGCCGCTAAGGGGAAAGGGATAAAGGATAGAGAGCGGGAGGGACCTGGGTAATAGAAAAAGCCTTCGGGGCAATGCACAGGAAGAAGAGTCCCTTCTGGTCACCTAGTCATCTAGCACTGGTGGAAGCTGAACAATCCACCTTTTCAGCCCTGCCTTGCCTCTCACCTGACCCTTAGTGTGGCAGCAAGAAGAGGGTGTTGCTCCAGACAGGCATGTTGGCTGGGCACCTGACTAGGCACTCTGTGTGGCAGAAGAGGCAAATCATACATAAAAGAAAGAGAAATCGTGCCCTCCCCCACGATGTGTTCTTTGATGGAATCTGTGCTGTAATAATGAAGACAAGAGAGAGAAACAGACTAACTCCGATTCACCAACAGTGTGGGTAGTTCAGAAAATAAGACTCTGGTTCCAGTCCCCTCCTCTACGACTTATAAATTCTATGACTTAGCAGAATAAAGAACCTCTCTGAGATTTTGCTTTTCTTTCATAAGACAGATTTAAAAGATAGACCTCACAAAGTTATCAGGAGGATGAAATGGAAGATAACTGTGTAAAACTCCTGGCCCTTAGCACAACAACTCTAAGCTTCCCTTTGAACTTGGAGACTCCCCAAGTATTGTGCAATATCTCAGCTTTTCCCAAGAGCAAATTTCTCCATCAGAGAACCTCTCTTACTCTCCACCCCTGGTACCCATGAAGCCTGTCCAGAAAGAAAGTGAAGGGGTGACAAAAAAAAATCACCTTCCTGATTATAGAAATATCTCAAGAGATCAAAAGCCAATGGTGAGCCAAGTTCTTGGTGACTTATGAAGTCAGTGTTTTTCTTAAAAGGTTAGGGTCTTTATAGCCAGAATGCAAATGAAACTTCATGTAGGAGAAGTAAGGTTTTTCCCTCTTAGACCTAGACACCTATCTCACCTGTTTGCTCACCTGGCTTCTTCTTTTACCACACCCTCTTTCCCTCAAAAACTCCTGAACTCATTCACTCTCTCCAGCCCCATCATTCCAGCCCTGGTCATCTGCCCAGCCCACTTAACATCTACCATGTAGTCCCCACTCCATCTTCACTTACCTTGCTCTATCCATATTTCACCATCATCCAGAGTGTTTTCCCCCTTACTATGCACTAATGATTTCTCTTCATACTAAGTGTTGAATCTAAATTCTTCACCCTGTCATATGCAATACCACTCTGCTGCAGCCTTCATTCCAATCTCACTGGCCTTCATTTGGGTTCTCTACCAGGTCAATCTCATTCCTACTTTGATGCCTCTGCACCTTTCTAACCTGGAACTGTCTTCCTGCATCTCTAAATGGCTCACTGCTTATTGTAACTTAAATCTTACTTTAAATGTTCATGAGTATTTATTCTGAAGTATCTATCAATTTAATCTTCCACAAATGTATTGTTTAACTGAGTATGTGGGTCATTGACAGAATTAATACATGTACTTCAATTACCAAGTATTTGTTACCCAAATGAACAGTAGGAAACAAATCAAGAAATAATCTCTCTTCTGCTAAACAGAACACATATTAACAGCATCAATATATTTTCTTTCGGCTAAATCCATCCTGAAATGTATCTAGCCCCTCCCCCATCACTGCCTTTCACATTTACCTTTTGATTTTACACAATAAAACTTCAGTGGCAGCACATTTTACCATTTAAACCTCACACAGGAAGAAATATTTGATTTGCACTCACTGCAAAACTATCTCCAGTGATCTTAAAAGTAATCAGTGTTGGGCTGGGATGTGGCTCAAGCGGCAGCGTGCTCGCCTGGCATGCGTGCAGCCTGGGTTCGATCCTCAGCATCACATACAAACAAAGATGTTGTGTCCGCAGAAAACTAAAAAATAAATATTAACATTCTCTCCTCTCTCTCTCTCTCTCTCTCTCTCTCTCTCTCTCAAAAAAAAAATTAAAAAATAAAAAAGTAATCAATGCTACAGAAAAAAAATAACTTCAAATAAAATTTTAGCCTATCCTTCCACAAAGGAAGTGGATATCTCAAATACAATACTTCTCTCAAGTTCCTTCCTAGACACAAATAGTGATTTTTCCCTTGTACCACTTCTATTGGAAAAGCAACTCGAAAGTTCAAACCCTTGGGCTGGGGTTGTGGCTCAGTGGTAGAGCACTTGCCTTGCATGGGTGAGGCCCTGGGTTCGATCTTCAGTACCACATAAAAATAAATAAATAAAAAATAAAGATATTTTTAAAAAGAAAGTTCAAATCCTGCTGATGTTCTGTTGGTGTAATTATCTTCATGTAAGAAGACTATGTTTAATTGAGGGATTGGGTAAAGGACTCTAGGACAATCCTGTGAAGCAAGGATTGAGCATTTACATATCACAATTTTTTCCCCTCTTGAACAGAATAAATTTATAAACAGTCTTGAGGAAGGATGGTACAGTAAAGCTGCTTTGGCCATTTTCTTCCCAAAGACAATTTATGTAAGTTATAACTTTAGTCAAAAGTATGAGATGCATCACAGTCTACATCATGTCCTGTCAGGAGAATTTCTATATTCTTGCTATTTTGTCATGATTCCATTAGAGGGAAAATTGCACTTTTTATGCCCCATGCTAAAATAAGTCAAAATTGAATTTAATCACTGCTTCTCATCCCAGATATAGGAAAGGAAAGCAGGTCACCTCACAAGAGAAGCAAAAACCAACATATGTCTATAGAGATTTACTGTGGGCAAACCTCTCTTAATCACTCCTCCTAAGATAGAGTAGGCCTCCAGTTCTGCTCTTTGAAATAGCTCAAGTAGAGAAATCTCATCATCCGAGAGCCAAGAAATTGGCGCCAGTAAGATCTACTTATAACATTCTGCTCTCTGAGAAGAAAATTTAAAAGGTTGAGAAAACCTCTTCTTACTCATGTCTATCTCTTGGAACTTTAAAACTTTCACCATAAAAATAACCCATTAATTGATCTGTAACTTGGCAAGAGTGCAGAGACTACCTTGGCTTTGGTCAAAACTCCCTGAAAATATAGAGGTTAGTCTATATTTCACCAAGAGCATTAGAAGGTCATGGCAATGAGACACCAAAATTATGTCTTTCCCAAGTTTCAGTATTTCTCTCTCCCTCTCTTCTTCAATTTTGAATAATTTTTTCCTGTACAGCCCAAAATAACACTGACCTTTTTAGATTGTCAGAGTGTTCAAATGTTCACTCCCGACCACGTCTTGTTCAACAGTAAAATTCAATTTCATTGAACACTTAAATATTTGTATTTAAGACTGTCTCTTTACTTATGTTAGCTGCACTTTCCTCCAAGTTAAACAGCACTCTGTTCTCGTTAGTACACATCTGTAAGCTCTTAGGTGGCACTCTTTTCATTTCTACGTGATCTGCTTTCCACCCTCCTTGCTTCTGGAAGAGGGATTAATTCCCTTTGACATTTATCTTCTGGTTACCAACTTTGAATTCATAATTTCCCAAAGGAACTGCTATTTGCTGTGTTCTAGCTAAACATCTTCATTACTATCTGGAAGATAGTGATCTGCAAGTAAAGGAGACTTGGAATTGGGGCTAATTGATGGGATGTTAGAGATGTAGTAGTGAAGAACATGTGTTTTGCAGGCAGTCTTTTGAAGAAGCAAAGCAAGGAAAATTAGGTAAACCTTTTCATTAAGTGTTTTAAGCTTTCAGTTAAACGCTTGAATTTTTAAAAGTCTTTGAAGCTTCAAAATTGCTTTCTGTTAAGCCATGTGGCTAATTTCTTGGGGTATCCTAATTGGCTGCTTTACTTCTAATACTATTTCAGGAGTGCTCTGGATAGCTAGGTTGTAGGGATGAGGAAGTGTCATGGGAAACAAGATCAGTAAAATATAAAAAGTTAAGAGTGGCAACAGATAGTTTCAAAACTTCAATTCACTGAACAGGAGGTAGAAACATAGATGAAGCCAAAGAATTCCATTTTTCAAATACTAACCCTGAAAGCAAGCTTTTTTTTTTTTAACCTACAAAGTCTAGCCTAAGAAAAGTGTCCCCTGTCAGAATAGAGAAGCTTCACGAGGCAAGAGAAACTTACCTCAGGGCAAGAAAAACTTTCCCTGGATCCCAGCATAGCATACTTGCTGTAGCAGTGCAGATGGAGGGGCACATTTAACACGCCCTTCCTATGCCATGGTTATCCCCAACTTCTCCTCTAACCTACCTTGATCCAGAGGTCCCAAGCTTGTAGAAATTAGAGTGTTAGCAGTAAAGCAGCCAATGGGATACCCCCCAAATTAACCATATGGCTTAATAGAGAGCAATTTTGAAGCTTCAATGACTATTTATTGCCTGTAGGTTCAGGTCAACTTCTAAGCTGATGTCAAAGTTTCTTATAATATGGCCCTGAATATGTTTCCAAGCTCATTCTCCTTCACTCCCAACTCCCAAGTCTTATCACATCTTATATTTTATTTTACAGGTATACCATAATTATTTCTTGATTTTTTTCATTGAATTGGAAGGATAGACTAGGTTCTGCTGCTGTAATAAACAACTCCCAAATCTCAGGGGCTTGGGAAAAACACAAGTCTATTGTCTCACTCATATTACATGTGTATCAAGAGTTGATGGGGTGTTCTGTTCTTTGCAGCCACACAGAGACCCAGACCAACAGAACAGCCACATCTAAAGTTGCTGGTTTTGTTTCCAAAGGAAAAAGCAGCGCTGGACAGTCTTGAATGAGCAAGACTGGACCCAATAGTGATCCTTCCCTTTGCTACCAACTCAGGAGCCTGAACAAGTCATGTAGACCTAACAAAGTCAAAGGACTAAGAAGTGCAGTGTTAACATGTGCCTGCTGGAATACAAATATTACAGAA